AAAGTGATTCTGTCCCTCGTTTATTATATTTAGGATTGCTGTGTAAAAACATAGCTACCAGATTAAGTAGTTATTTCCTAGGATGAGGCTCAGCAAGATACTTCTCAATAGTACAGCAGATAATTTATAAATTCAAAAATATCTTAGGATCAAGAAGACAAAGAAGATTTCCCAGTGTTTTTGTTGGATGGAAAAATAAACATTCATTGAGATGTACATGATTGATTTAGAGTTCTTAAAATAAGATGATAAAGATGGCGAGTAAGAAGTGACAAAAAAAAAAAAAAAAAAAGACTTGGGAGTTGATACAACAGACAACTGAGCCTTAAAACTTCCCCCCTCACTTTCTCTTTATTTCAGGGAAAGTCTGATTAGCATTTGTGTCAGATGAGGCAAATATGAGAACAGTTAGAAGAGTTTCAACTTAAGTCCTGAAGGAACAAAGAGGTGGTCATTCAGTTGTGTGACTTGAGCAGGATCTGAACATTTTTATAATCCTTGCTTGCCTGCTTCCTTTGGCTCAGGTCTCATGCGTGGGCCATTAGTCATACTTATTCCCATACTGACACTCTGAAAATTTGGCTTTTAGTCCATGATGTTTTGTTTTGTTTTGTTTTCTTCTTCTTCTTCTTTCTTTCTTTAAGATTCATACATTTAGCTGAACTTGGGCCTTGCATGAAAAATGAAGTTTACATAGTTTATATTATGTACATAAACTAGTGATTTACATTGATTTGCACATGATTGGTGCCTAATTTATTAATCAGCACACAGTATGTAAATGTGCTGAAGCAAAATCAAGATTTTAAAATAAGTTTCCCATAATATTCATAAACATTTTCATTGGTGTTAATGCTAAACCTCAACCTAACTTTAACACCAGCTGCCTTACCAAGAAGAAAGTGATGAACGTGGCTGGATGAGAATAAATTCTTCCTTAAATTTCAGTTAGCAACATTTGATTAGCATAGCTACATGCAAATGAGAATAGTTTACTTCTCTTCTGCTAGTATGCTCATAAATGTAAACTCCATTTTGTATTTAGTGAGATGTTTACAGATATTATGCCAACTATGATGGAAAATTTACATCACTGGAGCAAATGTAGTCTTCGAAGAATTCTTTTAAATACTTAAGAAAAAAGGCGTCTTAAATTGGATTTGTGCTTAGCGCAGTCTTATCTCAATATTTTTGTGGTATGTAATTGTCTGCAAAACATTAATAGCTTCTGTATCTCAAATATAGCATTGAATTTACATTTCTATAGATATATATAAAAAAAAGATAGCTCTTGGGAACCAAGACTAAATAGAAGCTAGAAGGTTAGGAGGATGAAGAGAAAACAGGATATGATTAATCCATAGAACGTGGCATATAAATTATTTTTAAATAAATAAGTACGAAGTGGAAAAAATGGGGCCCCATGTCTTACTAAATAAAGCATAGCTCATTGTAAAATCAATTTCGGCACGTTCTTTTAAATTTAAGCCATCATTCTAGGGTTTTCTTTTAATATATACAATATTGTAAATATAGCATTTATAGAGATAAGATTTTAAAAATTACATACACACATATACTTTTCCACAAATAAGTCAAGGTGGATGACTTACTTAGAGTGAAGAACAAAATGAGAACTTCAGGGAGACTAGCCAATAGAAACAGATTACAACCAACCTGTGGGTGGAGTCTGTGACTCTGGAGTAGTAAGGAGCGAACAACTCAGAAACTATTTCTTGCTGAGTTTAGTTTTTATGTGCAAAGGAGGTAAGTCCATTTTTGGAAGAGAAACAGAATTTTGTTTCAGTCCTCCAAGAACATGAAATCACGAGTAATTTTACAAGGTCTCTGTGAATAGCCCCAGTTGTCTTAATATGTAGTTTACAAGAAAAATGCTCATGGCAAGGGGGAAGTGTGCCTGACTTGGAAGAGAAGGCTAAAGGTGGATGAAACAATCCTTCCTATCAATAACAGCAAAACAACTCACCAACTTTCCTAAGGATTAGCTCTTTTAGGACAGAGAGATTTTGTGGCATAAAACAAGTCAGGTTGTTTCTCCAACAAGGCAAAACCTTTTGATGAACAATTGCACAGACATTACATGTATATATTCTGTAGCTACAAAATCTAGAACCACTTTCATTGCTCAGGAAGCACCCGAGTTCAGGTAACTTCTCCTTTTGCCAACTGAAAGTTGGGTCTAAGGATTTTGCTTTATGAATGGTGGAGGTTCATTTTACATAAACACATGTTGTAAAAGACATTAATAAGTATATGAGTCATTCAGATTAGTTGAGGCGTTGTACTCCTCTTAGTACTGTACATTGTTTCCAGCCACTTGACTTTTATTAAATGTAGGGTTTCAAGGTTTGTTTACCAATGGACAAGATTCTTGAAGGGAGTTTATGACATTATGATGACCTAAATTTCAAGGAATCCCATGTTAAGATCCTGTTTCTTAGTGTCAGTCCTCTGACCACTTTCTTTTTAATAAAAATTCCTCAAAAGGTGTTCTCTACATTGCTTCGATACATTCTCAAATATATGAGATTGCTGGGATCGGTGTTATCTCTGAAATGTGAACCATAAATAATAACAACAAAAGCCCAGATCTTGCCAGAGTTATATGCAAAACCACCACAATATTTAATACATTTTAATGATCTTTAATATATGGTCCATTATATTAAAACCAAGAGAATAAATGGAGTTGAAATGGTAAAGACATTCTACTCAATGGAAAAGCTTCTCCCATAAAACCAAGACCTTGTCCTTATAATAGAGTGAAAATAATAAGAATATGAGGAGTTTGATGAAAGTCTGTGACATGCTATGGAGATCCATTTCTGTTGCTGATGCTAAATGACATCTAAGTTAACCCTGTGACTTCTCTCTTCCTATTTAGTTTCAAGTTAACATGTACTTTTTTTAAACTTCCACTTAAGGTTGTGGCTGCCTCTTCAATATATGGAGAACATTTATCACTAAAGATGACAACCTTCTTTTCCTTGCACTAAGATGATCAAAACTGTTAGGAAATCTCTGATTGTCAATAAATTGATACTAGATAGGGATATAGCTCACCTTCCCTTTGTTTTAGTAGACATCTTGGATAAGAGTTTCCATTCTATGTCAAGATCGCCATAAAAACATGCCAAATGTGTTCATTCTGTGTCATGTCTGAACTGCAAAATCATAAAGGAAGAATGGTGATGAGCTTCTGGAAACAAAATAGAATCTCCTGAAGGAACCCAAAATGGGGCTCATCAAGGAGATGACTAGTTACAAGGAAGAGACTCGTTGCAAAGAGTCTTTGGTCAATAAAACGTATCAAGGGAACTTTCAGAGGTATTTTTCTGTCTTTTCAAAAAAAATTACAATTTTTCAGTTTCCCATTTTATATCATGTGACAACTAATTTTAAGTTTCCAAAGCTCAGTAAGATATCACTTTTGGCTCTGATGGAATACAGTCAATTATGATCTCAATGACAATCATCTGTCTTATTATAAACTGAGCCACTTCCAAATCTCTTGTAGTAATGTAAATGAGAGCCAATGACTAGCTTCTTGACAAAGACATCTACACAGAGTTAGTTCTCTCTGCAAGACCTTTTTCTAAGAAAAGCCTGTGGAGATGCCAAGCTTTGTGGTATTCATACATCCACATAATTTATTACAAGCTGCCCAGCTCTTTAGGTTTAGTAACTAGTTCCCATTTCAGTATTACTAAACACTCAGGGATGTAAATTTAAATACAATACCACCACTTTTGTTTTCAGAAGACCAGAAGCTAAAAGCAAGCAGGGAAGGTGATTATAATGCAATTCTTAGTGGTTTGCTCTAGCATAATGATGAACCTCTGTAAATAATGATATTAGAAACACCATCAATGGAACTGAAGGAAGATGATGTGGGCAATCAAATAAGGTACAATCTTAAAACCCCAGGCCAGAAATCTTCCAAGGAACACAAGGAACAAATTCCTTTCCTTTATAGTTTATGTTTTATATTAAAGTTTTGTCAGTATCTCCAGGATATGGGTAGGGACTTGGGTATCTGCCTTGCTCCCTTTTCCAGTATTTTATCTGAAATGTGAAGCAATTTCTGCTCAGAAGAATCATTGGGGCAAATGAAGTGTCACTTAAAATTAGAAAGGGGGCGAAACAGGGCTGCTTGGCATCTCCATGTAGCTCATCATTCTGCAACTGGGAATTAACCTTTGGAGACCTTCCTGCTTCTGGAGATTTATTAGACATATCCTACTTACTCCTGTAGCAGAGCAGAGACCAGCCTATAAAAAGCCCAAAAATATATGAATCCATCAGAATCATGAAAAAGAGTGAAATCAGAAACCTTCTCTCCTAGGTCACCTCTTCCACCTCACTGGTCCTTTTGACTGCTTGCGCACCCCATCAATAGTAGGCACTTTCATTTACAGTGATATTCTGAGTGACTCCCGACTGGGTTCTGATGGCTGGACTAGGAGGAATATGGGGACCTGCCCTTGGAAAGGGGCACAGCTTGGTTTGAATATACACTGATGTCATGTAGCAGCCAAAGCTGGGGGGAGGGGTTCTGCTCCTCCTCTCCTTTCTTGCCATCCCCCCAGCCACTTGTTACAGCCGCACCTCACAATTACAATGCAGGACGGTATCTACAGCACAATGAATCTATGTACACATGGACCATTCCCTTGGCATGCTTTAGAGCGAGAAAGATAGAGACACACACACACACGCACACACACATGTACAGCCACGTGAGAGAGAGAGAGAGAGAGAGAGAGAGACTTGAGCACGCGCGCACAGTTGATAAGATTAAAATGGCACTTCCTAGCATTGCAGCGGCATGACGAGTGCTCAGGGGGAGGAGGAATAAGGAGGGAGGAGAATCTGAGGAAGGGTAGAGAGGGAATATCTGGATGGAGCCGGGGAGACAGAGCGCACTGGAGGGAGAGGTATGCTCTTAAAAGTTAGAGAGAGAGTGGAGGCAGGGAAGCCAAAGAAAAGCTCAACACAGAATTCCAGCGTGGTTTCCATTGATAGTCTGAAGTGGCTCAAATAAAAATGCAATAAAAAGATTATAGAAATATCAACACCAAAGGCAAGACCTTATTTCTTTTCTTTTTTCCCCCACAGATGAAAAAGGATGAAGGAAGGATAAGGGGTGGTGATGGTGATTAATATCCATCTGGCACTGCTTTACTTGCGTTATTTTTACAACCCCGGGATGTCCTTAGCATGATGTAGTCTTTGCACTGCATACATTTGCTTAGATATACACATATTCTGGTCAAACGTTTCCCACCCTGAATTATTCTCTTTATTTATTTTTTAATTGATGGATTTAAATTTTTTCTAAAATGTTATATTTTCTTCTTCATTTTCTTATTTCCCCCTTCATTTAATAAACACACAAAGTTGTGAAATCAGTGGTCTCCCCCATCGAGTATGCTCTCTCTCTTTGTATCTTATGTGACGCATTTTTGTGTGTTTTTTTTTTAATTATTATTATTATTAAATTTGAATTCTATTAACATTTGCTGAGAAGGCAGAGCAGAGATGCTGCCAGCAGCCACAGTGGTACGGCCAGACTGATGGATCCGTTGATTCCTCTCACCGACCCAGGTCCTGCAGAGCAACAGAGAGAGAGAAGAGAGAACCGTTATAGCCATATAATCTGTGCCTGTTGGCACTAACTATATCAGAAGTAAGGCTTGGCTAGGTAGCACATCACATAAGTAGTGTGGGGATTTAGGAGTATCTTAAGGGATATCCTTGGTTGAGTCAGTATTAAATGTAAATGTTCTTGCCAAGAAGAGCCTAAACTGCCTATTGCGATGTCTCTGATGGCCCAGCTAGACTCTTGTTCGTCATACCACCTTGCTTGCTCTACACAGCAGCAGTTCCTCCAGGTCAGCATTCAGGAAGGCTCCCAGAAATGACAAGGGTCCTTCCAAGGCCAGGCATGGTCTCTTTGGCTGATTCATTACAGCAACTTCATCAATAAAACATGGAATCAATCCATGCCTTCATTTCTCAGAAGAGAAGTCATCATTATTTATTGATTAATGGGGTGGGGAATTGTTTCAAAACAATATTTATTTATTTACTTAACAAGGAGCACTGGTGGCCCAGTGGTTTAGCACTGGCAACTGTTTGCTAATAGAAAGGCTGGCAGTTTGAACCCACCAGTCGATCAGTGGTGAAAAAGATGGGGCAGTCTACTTCTGAAAAGATTGGATCACCTGTTGTTGTTAAGTGCCATCAGTGTGTTCCGACTCCTAGCGACCCTGTAAAGGGTTTCCAAGGGGCAGATGGTGAATTTGAACGTCCAACTTTGCAGGTCAAACCAACCTTACACTTCAGTCCATTAATCCACAGTGCCACACCAGGACTATAGCCTTTGAAACCCTATGGGGCAGTTCTACTCTTTCCTACAGGGTCACTATTGTTTAGAACCTTAGCAGCAAGACAGAAAATAAGCCAACACACTTAGAATCTTAGGAAACAACATGGGATCCTCTTGTTCAATCTCTTCACTTGATATTGAAAAAAATAAACAAAACCCAAACTACAATCAGGGGCCTTGAATGGTTAGGAGGCAGGTTTGAACGGAAACTTGAACTCACCAAGTTCAATCTGGAGGGGAAGCCTGCATGTTTCCCGCTACCACCTTAGTTTCTTTAGTGTGGACATGATTTAGGAGTGGGGATCTGTGTCTGACAGAGAGTTAGATGGAGAAGAAGATGGGAAAGGGGTTTGTTCATAGAAGAAGGAGAACTGTGACAGATAAGTCCAATGGAAGAACTCACCTCCTACACTTCACTTGTTCTAGTTTAGATATATATGGATACATTAAAAGAAGAAAATATGAATATTTTCACTACAGACATTTTGGAATTTAAGACTTAATATTTAGACAGTGATGTTCAAATGGAAAAAAAAATGCTGTTGTTGTAGGTCACTTTGAAGTTTTGAGGGCATACATACAGGTAAATGTTCATGAATGAGTATGCGTTAAAATGTGTGTCTGCTTAAAACTACATTGTTTGCAAAGGACAGGAAAATATCCTCTAGTATGTTAATGCATGGCATACCAGATCTGGAGGTAAAATAATATGGCAAAAATGCTGAATTCAAGCATGGCCTCCAAATCTGTTTTATGTAAATAACAACAATGACAACATCAAAACCAGAACACAATTACATAGCACTACAACCATCCTGGATGGCGGGTTCTGTAAGTAACCCAGGTTTACAAGGAGAGACTGTGGGACAGAGTGGTTATGCACACTAAAGCAGTGTTTATTTTGCTACTATTACTGAATCTACACAACTGGTAGTAGAGGGCTGGGATCCAGAGTCTGTACTTACCAGTAGCACACAGTGAAGCTTCACAGTGAAAGGGTGCAGGGAGTTACTTGTCAAACAATGAAATTGGGATTTATTTAAAGAACAATCAGAAAAAACAAACGATGAGGGACATACATTATCTTTTCAAAGAAACTGAAATGAGTTTCAAGAAAGCACAATTGAGTAGAAGGTTTCTTAAGGCTACTAAAAATGTTGTTATTGTAAGTTGCTGCTGAGTTGATTCTGGCTTGTGGAGACACCAGTTGTGCGGAGTAGACCATACCAATGCCATGACCTACTATCTTCTGACTCTAGACTTAGTGGCCAGAGTAGAACTCCCTCATAGTGTTTTGAAGGCTGTACATCTTTACATAAGCAGACTGCCACATTGTTCTCCTGCAGAGCAATTAGTAGGTTTGAACCACAGACCATTTGGTTAGCTGCTGAGTGCTTTAACCACCATGCCACTGGGGCACTTTAATAACTATACATAGGTATTGTCTAAAGTGAATATCTTGTACAAAGATATGGAAAAACAGGATAAACAACTTAAATCTGCAACAAATCAATTCTCTAATGTCGTGACTGGCTGTAGGATCCTATTAACATAAGGCACTTTAGTTATCTGAAGGTCCATGTCTTTCATGAGGAATTAAGATTCAGCAGGATTATTTATTCTGCCTAAAGAACCTGACTAGTGATTGTCAATCAGGTACTATAATCCAGGTATTCTAAGTCTTAGCTCAAAAGCCCTTCAAATTGCTGTTTTCCCCTTTAAAACTTGAATAGAACCTCTGTCCCCTCAGGAGCTAGAAGAAAGGACTTTTTAGTTTTTGTTTTTGTTTGCCTTTTGGGACCGTCAAACCTTCTTAATGGAAACTTCTCAGAGTTTATGGTCTAATGTCAATGTTATTTTCCTATAAATTTTCTTAAATTACCATGGGCTGCCAAAAGAACAAACAGCTCTGTGTTGGAAGACGTTCAGCCAGAGTGCTCCTTGGAGGCCAAGATGGCCAGACTTTGTCTCTCATACTTCGGACATATAGTCAGGAGGGACAAGTTGCTGGAGAAGGATATCATGTTTGGTAAGGTGGAAGGTAAGAGAAAAAGAGGAAGACCCCCACCAAGATGTATTGGCCAAGTGGCAGCATCGATGGACTCAAGCGTGGCCACACTTGTGAGGTTATTCCAGGACCTGGCAGTGTTATGTTCTGTTGTGCATAGAGTTGCTATGAGTCAGTACCGACTCAATGGCACCTAACAACAGCAACACTATACACTGGATAATATGAGCTCCTTGATACATTTGATAAAAAGCTACAAAAGTCCGTTTGGTTTGTTGTTGTGTGTCATTGAGTCCATTCCAACTCAGAGTGGTCAGATAGGACAGAATAGAACTACCCCAGATGGTTTCCAAGGCAGTAATCTCTATGGAAGCAGACTGCCGTATCTTTCTCCTATAGAGTGGCTGGTAGGTTCAAGCCACCCTGGTATAACACTGCAAGATAATGCATTGGATCACAAGATTATTTTGCACTGCAAAGTCAGCAGTTCAAACCCACTATCTGCTCCTCAGAAATCCTATACAGGATCACTATGGGTTGGAGCTGACTCTATGGCAATTAACAACAACAGAAACAAGTACACATCATATGTGTTATTATAATTATTAACTGTTGCTTTCATATGCTATATTCTGTTATGCATAAGAAATCTCAGTATGCCTGTGTTAATTATCTTTAATTTTATACTTAATAGGAGTATTAGTACATATATTTACTGCATTTTGTACATCTGTTAAAGATATCTTCATTTCTCTCAACTATTATTTATTAAGTGCTCTCATATAGCTATTTAATGTGCTTATATTACTTGCTCTTTTCATAATTGGTTTTGAGAGTAAATAAATAGGCTTGAAAAAATGCTAGGGTAAATGGGTGCTAGTTGGGGAATCATCACAAGTGTGTATGCAATTATAGATATATATGACTGCATAGAAGACTACTTCAGTTAATGGCTATTTCAGAGAAGAATAATCAGCAAAATCATTAATTATGTTTTAGTTCATAGTTATGAAATTTCTGCTTATTTGTGGAAATGCAAATGATAAATCTTATTTCCCACACCAGATGGCCAGGCTCAGCAAGTGCTTTCATATCCTGACAGATATAATGAAAGCAAGAGTCTGCAAACATAAATTAGTCTTAAGAATAGATAGGCAAATAGAACCATAATTCAAAAATTTGCTACATGTTTTTCATATAACAGACACAAATCAATCCTCATATTTAGCCACATTCTGTATGTGTATATGCATATGTGCACACACATGTAAGTGTGGTATCTCGTAAGCATTCCAAAAATGATGGCACTGTCATCATTATTATTAACTATAAAAGTTTGGATTAAAGAAAAGCATGAGATACTAACTTGAGTCAAAGGCATTGGTTCAACAAATGGGGTCAAGGCATTTAATGTTTGACCTGAGGGAGCAAAATACAGTTGTGTCAAGACTGAATCTCACATCAGCATCCCAGACTAGGTCATGGTTCTCAGCTTCAGCTACAGGTTGGTAAGTAAAGTTTTCTGTCAACGTGAATGCCGGACTGCCTTTGCTATGACACTGCTTGTGATTAAAGACAAGATTGACAAACCATTCTGAAATTGAGGGACATAGCATTTCCTGGAACATCTCTATAGTATAAATCAAATGCAAGATCCTGAACCAGTTAATTTGTCTCTCAATAACAAGTCAAAGAAAGGACAAGGTATTTGTCTTGCTTTTTAGAGAGCAGGGTGTTTGGACAATTTGAATCTGGCTGACATGGTTCTATTGCTTCTTCTGAATTCTTAGTGCTCATTGCCTGGATATGGGACTAGATTTACTCAAAATGGTTGTTTATAATGCCCTCAGTGATCCTTGACCATTCCTTCATTCACTAAAGATTCAGAGCTTAACTTTTCATTCTTTTTTAGAATCATTAAGAGTTGGCTGAGTATCTGAAAACAAATCTAAAACTGGAAACAACATATAAAACAAAAGAAAGGAAATACTCTTCTGAAACTCCCCAGTATCTTTGCTCAATGTTATCTAATGTGCAGACTAAGGCACTTTGGTTTACTAGGAAGCCAGATTTAAAGAGAAGCTTCATAAGACTGACTCTGGCGCCACCTGCTATGCATTTTCCGACAATACAGTTTCTTCTGGGTGAATGAATTGTGGATTACAGTCTATATTCTCCAGACTGCAGCAGATTGCTGTTGTTCAGCTGCCATCAAGTTGGCCGAGTGGTGTCGGCATATGAAGTGTATTGACCAGAAACTGAACCCAGATTACCCACATGAAAGCAAGACTCCTACCATTGAACCACCACCGCCCTTGGAGCAGATTGTTCTTGTTGTAAAGTGCTTTTGAGTTGGTTGTGACTCATAGTGACGCTATATAGAGTTTCTAAGGAGCGACTGGTGAGTTTGAACCACTTACCTTGCAAATCAAACTGACCTTGAAGTTCAGTACTTTATCCCACAGTGTCAAACAGGAAATATTTATGTTTACTGTAGTAGTGCGTCTTAGAATTACATTTAAGTTCTTCCAACATAGACCTCTATACATTGTTTCCCCCCATCTGTAAAGCGAGATTCCAGTAAGGCTGAGAAGTATTCTCACAGTAAAGTTGGAATTATGGTTGCTTTTTTATTTGTTTTATTTTTTCTTTTCATTAGAACAGTATAAAATATTTTGACAGGAAAAATTTTGAAATCCTTAGATCAATACTTATAATTTTTTCCGGTGACAGTAAGAGCCTATCTTGATGGTCTTTGAAATAAAAAATAAGCATGAGCCCCATTTGTCTACCCACATTAAAATCCTGAAGGACTGCATGTTCCAGTGTGTTACTCCAACCACTTCAGATGTAATTGGTTCTCATGGAATTGGGGAGAGAAGAAATGCTGAAGAGGACAGTAGTTTACCCTTTGTTGGCATGAATGATGCTGGTCCTATGCATACATTCTTGGTTGCCTCTTTCCTGCTGCCTTCTGTGAAGATCTGCTAAAGCTGATCATGAATTCTTGGGAGTAAGTAACAAAGTGTCTATAATCTCTGTGGCTGTTGGTCACTAATAAGGTCTAGGTCTCACAAGAATAAGTTTTCATAGTGAAAATGCTCTTGGCTTTCCTAGCCCTTTTGAGGAAGACAAATGGGTAGTCACAAGGACTTAAGGAGAAGGGTAGCTGGCTGGCCACACAGTGACTCTGTGACTCTGGTCTGGGATACAACACTGCTTGGGAATATAATCTGTTGGATTTGTAAATAAGACACTGCAGAATCGTCAACTGTTTGTATTTTAGAATTTATTTATGAATTTTGGTGTCTATTATCTGCGTAGAGGAAAGTACCTAAATTATGTGCCAGGTGACTGATGAAAGTATGTGTGATAGTTTACAGGGCACAAGCAGATAGTTCCTGGGAGACCCCAGAAGCCCAGGTTTACTGTGGCAGAGTGAGGTTCTGAGAGAAGGATGTAGCAGGAGGAAATGTAACTGCTCAACTGAATCCTATAAAGAGATACGGCTCTATTTCCTTTAGCAGTGCATCTATTTGAGTAGCCAACAAGTAGACCATAAGTAGACTCTGTGTCTCTTCTGAGCGAGTGCATTCATTGGACAGTAAGTATTTCCAAAATGCAACTATCTAAGAATTAAGGTAAAGAAAGTGGAAGGGAAAGAAATTTCTCAGTTCCAGAGATTTAATAATGAATAGCCAGTCAAAAGCAATATAGGAATCTTGGGTTGGATGGTAACTTTTATGACTCTGTTCACAAGTTAAGAAAAATCTGTACAAAACTATGGCAAATGTGTTATGGAAGTTATTAATGCAAGTTACTGAAATGAAATAAACTCAAATATGTAAAACTACAATATGTTGCTATGAAATCTCAATTTTAAACATACAGAAGTTAATCAGAAATGAGAACCATACCTTTTTGCTTGAAGTGCACGGTGGTGCCAATTTCTAAAAAAAGAAATATTTAGCAAAACAAAAACAACAAAACATTTTTTTACCAATTAGGAATAAACATGAAGGTAATCTGTACTCTCCACTGAAAGAAGAATGAGATAAAAGGCAAAAAGAACAATCCAGTAGGATCAGATATTGATAGAGATTGAAAGAAAGGAAAAAGTAAATAGACTTTTGCTAGAACAGTTGGTCTGCACCTAGAGGTTGCAAAATGTGATTTGCAACAACAAAGAGCTTGTGTTATATGTTCTATATGTAGACAAGAACTCGTGAGTATGAAACCTTGACTCCAATTTTATGGTCTTGTCTCCAGCTCTTGAAGACAAAACATTTTGCCTCTGATTGATTCCACAGAAGACAATTGACCTAGTGTAGTGGTTACAAATCAGGCTGTGAACCTTAAGGTCAGCAGTTCGAAACTACCAGCTGCTCCCGTAAAGATTTCCAGCCTGGGAAACCCTGTACAGGGTCGCTATGAGTTGGAAACGACTCCATGGCCCATCACAACATGCAGACCGAGTCCATTCCAACATTAAAACTTTTGCACTTGTTTGATTGTTTTTCTTTAAGATCTTTGTTAATCAGTCACTTCCTCAGATTTCTGCTGTAATGCCATCAACTCAGGAATGACTTCCATGATCACCTTATCAAAACTAGTACACCTTGTTTCCATCTGTATTCCTTTATCCTGTTTTACTAATCTGAACAACACAACATTATTGGTATCATAGTCCATGTTGATTTATTTGGTTATTTGTGGTTTGTCTCATCCATTAGAATGTACACTCCATGAAGGCATCAACAGTGTGTTCCTTGTCTACTATTATATATCTGGTGTGTTGGCAGTTCAAGCTCACCAGCAGCTCCTCGGAAATCCTATATAGGGTCATTATGAGTCAGAAATGACTCGACGGCACTTAACAACAACAACAACAACTACATTGGAGCCTGGTATGTAGCAGACATTCAATATCTATTTGATTACTATAGAAATAAATCTCAGAGTATCTCAAGACACCACGAATTGCCTTTTAAGTGTCCATATCAAGTAAATTACAGCACTCTTTGTTCTTTAGTAAACTTGTAAACTTTCCACAAGTCTCCTACTTTGAATTTCAGGAATGGTTGGCCAATGTAGGCACCCATACTGTGGCTGTGAGATACAGGTTTTCTTTTCTTTGAAGACCCGGATATAGCCTTGTATTCTTGAATAATTTCTTTACTCTAAGGAAACAAGGTTTAGCCAGAGAGAGACTTTTGAATTGTACATCTGGTCAACTCATTATCCAACTTGAAACTTGTAATTCCTCCTCCTCCTGGTTCTCAGAAAAAAAACACCAAAATCCTTAGCATGGATTCCATGCCTCTGTAAATTCAGCCATCCCTTTTCCCAAACATCTCCACAGTTTTATAACAAGTCTGTATCCCAGCCCACCAGCCGTCCTTTATTTCTCATGGGTAACATGTTTTCTCTAGTCATAGGATCTTTAATCCCATGATTTCTTTACTTGATACTCCATTAATTCCTGAGAATTCAATGGCCACTTCCTCAGGGACACGTTCCTTGAGATGATTAAGTCCTTTTATGGTAGGTTCTGCTCTCTTTCATAGCACACATTTCACTTTTAATTTCAAACGTATTGATCGGATTTCTTTTTCAAATTAATTCTTGGTTTCCCCACTAGACTGTGAGTTCCATGGAGGCATATGAAAAACAGATCAAGAACCTTCCTAACTTCAAACACTGAACCTGAGTAGATAAACTCTGTTTTCTGATTTAACACAAAGAAGGTTGTTGTCATTTTAGGTGCTGCGGAGTCTGTACTGACTCACAGTGACTTTATGCACAACAGAACGAAACATTGCCAGGTCCTGTATCAACCTCATGGTGGTTGCTATACTCAAGCATAAAAAGAAGGTGGTGGTGGTGGTGTGCGGTGGAGTCGGTTCCGACTCATAGCGACCCTGTATAGGGTTTCCGAGGCTGTCAGTCTTCATGGCAGCGGAAAGCCTCATCTGTCTCACGCGGAGCATCTGATAGTTTCAAACTGCTGACCCTTAGATTAGCAGCCCAATTCGACCTGGTGTGGCGCTGTGGGCTAATGCGTCAGACTGCAAAGTCATTTGAACTGCAAGGTCGGTGGTTCAAGCTCACCAGGTGCTCCTTGGAAACCCTATGGGTCAGAATCGACTCAGCACCACTTCACAACAACGCTACCAGAGCTCCTTAACAAAGAAGGCAGACCTTCAAAATCAGGTTTTTCAGAGTTTCTGAGGGTCAGTGTAATTTATTAATCTTCCTCATAGCTTTTTCCATCTAAAGTAGGTCACGAGAAAGCGCCATCAAGCAGCAGACATTTTCTGGCACTCATAATAGGCACATACAGAAGGGCACAATTGCTCTAGTATCTAACGTCTTGAAATGTTTAGCTACAATTGAGCTTTAGCAAGCCTTGTTTCAACCAGGCTTTTCTTAAAAGAAAGTTGTGCAACAGCGTACTTGTTTTGAACAATTATTTCCTACTCATCATTTTCTGTTGAAACAGAACATTCTTGAGAAGCAAAAGAAATTGAGCTCTTTGCAAAACTCTCAGCCTCTTTGTAAACTTGGTTATATGGTGCCATCTTGTGGTAGACTTAAGACATGTTCCTATGTATTATTTAAAGAAATCAGTAGTGTCCACTAGGTGGCAATAATGAGGAAAAAAATTTATTATTTTTTTTTTTATTTCAGGGTCAGAGCAGAAACAAAACGACACTTTTCAATAAGAGATCATTCCTATTATTATAGGAAATAAAAATATTGGTGTTTTTTCCCTTAGGAACAAATTATTCTGTTTTTCTAATGCAAAGTCAATCTCAATTTTTTTTTTTTTTTTTTTTAATAAAACTGCCTTGTCATGGATATTATTCCTGTAGAGATTTACTGAACACACCAATATAACATACCTGGGACTCATGATTTTTATTCCTTTCAATGATTTTGCTTTCCACACATCTATCTTGTTTAGTAAATCTACTTAACAAATAAGTCTTGGCAAGCTTGTCCAAAGAAAACAACAAACAAATAAATCTATTTCAGCAATATACTGGGCAAACATCGGGGGACTTTACTATGGGGCTTCTAGGTATACTCTGAAAGAATTAATGTTATATTTGTAGTTTTAGCTCCTGGTGACGTGGCACAAGAAAGCAATGGGGGAAAAAAAATGTAACACCAGAAAAAGTAAGATCCTATTCTAACTTTGATTTCTGACTTTCAGATTCTTTACACGTAGCCATGAAAGACAAGCCTGAATCAAAAAGCTGATTCTAACCCTTTCATTGACATGGACAATTGGAGCCCTTGTTCACTACTGTATCCTAAGGTTACACATTTTTTTCTGGTTCAGAATAAGTGTCCAGAAAGTCTGCTGAATTAATGAACATCTGAATAAGTGAGTGAATGAATCAATTAATAACATAGTTCAGGAACTTTCTAGCCCAGACTGTAGGTAAAGATCATTGTGTTCCCTTATTACAACAGCAATCCCTTAATCCAGAGACAGGATTATTGGTGGAGTCACAGTTATTTGAGGAGTTTTTGGGCTTGAAGGTCCTTTCACAGTCTCCAAAACCTGGGGGTTAGGACATTTTGATGCCTTGATTACTGCTTCCATGAGTGTTGATGGTTGATCAGAGCAAAATGAAGTCATTGACAATTTACAGCTTTTCTCCATTTATCATGTTGTTATTTATTGGTCCAGTGGTGAGGATTTTTGTTTTCTTTACATTAAGGTGCAACCCATACCAATAGCTGTAGTCTTTCATCTTCATTGGTAAATAATTTAAGTTGTCTTTGCTTTCAGCAAGCAAGGTTGTATCATGCTTTCATATCGCAGGTTGTTAATGAGTCTTTCTCCAATCCTGATACCTTCTGTTTCTTCATATACTCCAGTTTCTCAGATAATTTGATCAGCATACAGATTGAGTAAGTATGATAAAATAATACAACTTTGTCAAAAACCTTTACTAATTTTAAACCATTCAGTGTCCCCTTGTACTGTTGGAATGTACTCTTGGTCTATGTACAAGTTCTTCAGGCGCTCAATTAAGTGTTCTAGAATAATCTTTCTCTGCAATGTTGTACATAGATTGTCATGATCCATAAAATTGAAAGCCTTTGCATAGTCAGTGAAGCACAGGCAAACATCTTTCTGGTATTCTCCACTTTCAGCCAAGATCCATCTCATGTCAGTAAGGATATCCCTTGTTCCACATACTCCTCTTAATTCTGTTTGACCCTCTGGCAGTTCTCTGTCAATGTACTTTTTTAGATTTCTTTAGAAAAAATTTACTTGCATGTGATATTTATGATATAGCCTGATGATTTCCGTATTCCAGTGGGATGGACACAAATATTCCATTGGGATGGACACTATCCATTGGAATGGACACACAAATATTGACATCTTCCAATCAGTTGACCAGGTAGCTGTCTTGCAAATTTCTTGGCATAGATGAGTGAGTGCCTGCATTGCTGCATCAGTTTGCTGAAATATTTCAAATTGTACTCTATCAATTCCCAGAGTCTTCTTCTTTGCCAATGCCTTTAGTGAACCTTGGACTTCTTCTTTCAGTACCATTGACTCTTGATCATATGCTTCCTTTTCAAATGGCAAACATCGCCATTTCTTTTCAGGTACAGTGACTCTTTGTATTGTATCTTCTTTTGAGGCTTTTCTGCATCATTCCATATTTTACCTGTAGCATCCTTCAGTATTATAAGTCAAGGTTTGAATATTTTCTTCACTTCCCTTTGCTTGAGAAATTCTGAGCATGTTCTTCCCTTTTGGTTTTCTATCTCCAAGTCTTTGAACATTTCATTTAAATATTTGACTTTGTCTTGGTGAGTTGCCCTTTGAAATATTTGGCTCAGCTCTTTTACCTTCTCATTTCTTCCATTTGCTTTAGCATCTCTATGCTGGAAAGCAAGTTTCAAAACATCCATTTTG